TCATAAAAGGATCCACACAGGAGAGAAGCCATATAAATGCATGGAGTGTGGAAAGAGCTTCAGTCAGAGCAGTCATCTTACTTCTCATAAAAGGAGCCACTCAGGAGAGAAACCATTTAAATGCACGGAGTGTGGAAAGAGCTTCCGTGAAAATGGGGCCCTAACTGTTCATAAAAGGATCCACACAGGGGAGAAACCGTATAAATGCACAGAGTGTGGGAAAAGCTTCATTCAGATCAGTTCCCTTACTTCCCATAAAAAGATTCATACATGTGAAAAGCCATATAATCCATAAAGTGGGGAAGGGTTTCAGCTGAATTCCATATAAAGATCCACTCATCATGTACTTGATTGTATTTATCCATACCCTACCTTCAAGTTCTCAGCTATAGAACTATGCTTTCTCTGATTCTTGAATTCTCAGGACCCGTGTTTTAGCTTAGAAGGAGCAGCCAAATAAAGTATTAATATCTTTTTTTCCAATAATGTTATTAAAGATGATATAAAACAGATAAAACTAATACAAAAACCTAATACAACAACGCATTAAAATGTTAAGGAAGTGCAGAAGAAAAATACCTCTCCCCAAAAAAGATAAGAAGAAACTTCCCCCTTCATCTCCAGCAAGTATATTCAACATTAGCAATTTATCGCTGTCCCTTAAAATACTACCAAATACATCTTCCTTCCATATTTCACCCCCTTTTCTATAGACCCATCTCTAAATCCTCAGCTCTCCTTATTAATCAACAGAAGATGTAAAAATTAAGAGACATAACTGACAACATAAGCATTTAGTCCCCCTTTCCATTTAAACATAATCCCCCTAATCCCTCTCTTAATAATCAAAATCTAATCCAAATTAGCTATTAGACATTACCAAAAGATAAAAAATAATCATTAATCATCACCAGATATAGCAACCCATCATTAATCTCAATTAACAATTAAACATCATAAAACATTACAAAATACATTACCAGAAATAATAATCCCTTATTTATATACCACAAATAGTAACAGATGTTACAAACTAATCCATTACACTCAATTGAACATTTCCAAAAAAGATCTATCTAGTCAAAGTAACCATTAAAGATCACCCAAAATAGCAACCCATTACTTAACCATAATCAAATAAACCAGTTTTGTATTTTTTCTTCTTCCTCCCATCAATCCTTGAATCCCATAAAGGTCTAACATGTTTTCTTCTATTAACTTTGACTCTTCTCTTGAAATGCTTGTCATCTTTATCAAAGTCAATATGTAATTTCAATGTAGCCACTCAAGTCTCTTATATTCCAATTTAAATGGATCTACATCTCTCTTTTGATACATTATATGTGTATCTTCTTAAATTTTTAAATGATCATCCAATTCCATTTGTAAATCCAATATTTTCATCTCTTTCTAATAATTGTTAAGTCCACCTTAAAATCCATTTTGGTTATCTTCCAAGGGACTTGTTTCTCTTCAATAACAACTTTCGGTTCCAGTATAGGTTAAATAATCCAAGCATTTCTTGAGACAGATTGTAAAATGTTTCCTTTAAAGTAGCCATCTGGTGCTGTCTAGTGAATAACCCTCAAAGTTTTGTTATCAGGTTGGAGTATAAACATAAGTTTTTTTCTCACACAAGAGGATATTTTTAATTAACTTCAACGTTTTTTTTTAAATCAATTTCATCCAAATCCTTAGTGTTTAAAAAACTTTTCAAAAAACACTATCGTCCCCCTTTTATTGTACATTGCAAAAAATAAAGATCTTACAAAGTTGGAAACATGTAATTTTCTTTCTTTTTAAACAGATTTAAGAGAGTCTCACCCAGTGAATGCCCAACTTGCAGTTCTGAAGGTTTTTCAGTCTTAAAGAATAAGAAAAAAATTAATCTCTAAGATGATTAAAAAGATGAGGTTTGGACAAACTTTTTAAAAAGGCTACGTTAACGGCTCAGAGCATAATGAAACCTGTGACTCCCAGCTGATCAAAAGCAACTGCAAAAACATCACTTTCTGCTGTTGATTCACAAAAAAATCAGCTGTCCAGAATGCATGAGGGTAATTTCAAGATGTCTTATTATCCAGAGAGAATTATCAGCAGTCTGGAACCTGCATCCAGCTGCAATTTGGCTGCAATGTGTCCTGTGGAGTGCAGGGCATCAGTTTGCCATTCCTCACTGGAAGTGACCATAAAGTATTACAGGTAGTCCTTGCTTAACGACCACAATAGGGACCAGAAAATTGGTAGTTAAGCGGTCGTTAAGCAAACCCAGCTTCCCCAATGGACTTTTTTGCAGTAATTTCCCCATCATGTTTGCAGAGGGAGCCCCCAGTGGATTTTCTGCACAATGCAGGAAGGTAGGGGTGATGGGGTGCATTTTCCATGGGTTGGGGAGAGAAACATCTCTGTGGGACAAAAGGAGAGGTAGGGCATGGAAAGGGACATTGAGGCTTTCTCCAAACAATCTCTTGTTGCCCTTTTTACTTTCAACCAGGAGGCCTCTAATCCCCATCCTAGGAAGCTTCACAAACTGGGATGTTTGTTAATTAATTGTTCAGATGTATATAGCTGTTCAACTCAATATGTAACTTTGGGTGGCTCACAAACAGTTGACAGTGGGAACCCAAAATGCAACTTTATGAGACATTTAACCATTACTTTCAGGAACCTTTGTGAAATAGTCAAGAAAAATGGTGGGGTATCCAATGCATCTCGCTAAGTCAGCCATATCCCACCCTCCAAACCCACATCCTTCTAGCTTCTGCTGTGGTTCTCACACTCTCCCACCATAATCATCCTCTGGACAAGAGTTGGCAAAAAGGTTTTGAAATGAAATTCTAGCTGTCTTCCAACCATCACCCTTCTTGAGAGATCTCATGAAGAACGAAGAGGGATCAAATATTCCTTCCCCGTGCAAAACACATTTCCCCCTTTAGTGTGGACAGAATACAACAGGGCACGACTCTGCATGGTGTGGAAAGCCCACTGCAAGTCTCCAGAAGGGCTGAAGAACTGTGACCACCTAGGATGGTCATTTGAGGATTCACTTGAGACCACAATGTAGCTATGGGTTCCTGCTTGTGCCTTACATCTTTCCAAAGGCTCTGGGAGAGGAGGAACTGGGTTGTTTCTTGGCTTAAGAGGTAGAGCTGGTTCAGTTTATCTCCAATTTCAAGTTTAAAAAATATTGGGCAATGGTGAGAAACTGAGATCAGCAATTCTTTTTGCCAAAATCATGAGGCCTCTCTTCTGTTGGAAGTGTGTATGTCTAAATATACTGCATTTCTATAAATATATCGAAATCTCAGTTTCCTATCAATATACCCTCTTAAAATTCATTTTTTAGATATACACACACCACACTTGGTTAAGAAAACCAACCTGCAGAAAACTATAATTATAAAGGGGGAATTAGGGTTCAGAAATGTTGATTTTTTATAACTAACTTAATTTGTCAGATTTTATAACCCACTTTCTCTTCAGGAGCTCAAGGATGGACACAAACCCAAAGGTATAATACAGATCACTTTTATTAAATGCTTTAATAATATAAGTTATGATAAGGTCGTATGGTCAAACTATAATGATACTGGCATTCCCTGCTACAAAATAATTATAGACAAAAGACATAAAGACAATGCACATTAGGATGACTCCTTCACAGGCTCCCTGGAGAAGATGGAGGCAAACCCTTTTACATAACCCCAAACAATTCATCCAATATATATCCAATGGTGCACAATTTTAGAACATGTTCTGAGAAGGACTGCAGCCCTCTTGTGTTACGTATTGTGATCCACTAAAAATACATACATACATTCCTACAGATGACATTTCCTCTTAGGGCAAAGAATATGATGCAAAGCACCGAAAAGGAAGGGTATCTCAATAGTATCTCAAAAGAAATTACGTAATGAGGCAAGAAAAGGAAATCTAGCTAATCTAGTTTACACCAACAGTACTTGGTATCCCTCTCCAGGCTTCCTATCATTCGATTCTTGCAAACCTTCCTTCCTTCCACCACTCCATACTCTGCTTCTCTTCTCTAGGCTTCTCAACTTTCCCATTCTCATTTGTTTCGATTTCAACAAATCCTGCAAATTTGGAATAAATATGGGAAGACCGCCAACATGTAAGTCAGCTTTAGAGTTAAATTTATCTGAATCGTATTTATTTTAACCCAAACACACCAAAGAATTTTATGCCATCTGTCTAGATGTTCTTTCATTTGCATCAAAACAGGAAATAAGTTTAAATTTACTAGCTGAGATGGATTCCTTACACCAAGATAAACAAGGGAGTCAGAACGTAACCTGAAACTCATACCCTTGCATATTCTGAATTATTACTGTGACTCAGTGACATCCGGTCTCTATTATTCCAATATGTATAAAAAAGAAAACTTGTTCAGATATTTCTTCAACAATCAGTTTAGAAAATCTGCTAATTGAAATTACAGTACAGTACCTCTTCCACATTTGGAACAGCTGCTTACACAAAATTTCCCCCACCAATTTTTTCCCCTTTTATAAAGAGGAATGTGGCTGTTCTGCAAAAAGCAATTCCTGTTCCCATCTTTCATAATATAATTCATACATGTCTACAGTTAGTAGGAAGGTCTCCAGAAGATTACACAGGTATCATTTCACTGAGAGACCAAGGTCATGGTAAGCAAACATAGCCATGATCATCAGAAAGTGGATCAAAAGTCAGTCCTCAACAGCCAGGAATTTCTAACAAGCTTTTGTTTGTTTGTTTATTTAATTTATGCAGTTTCTATAGTCACCCATCTCAATCCAAGTGACTCTTAAGGCTAAGAGTTGAAGTGCAGAAGAATCGAGACCAGATGCCCACCATGCTTAGTTCCTCATTTGATACCCTGTTCTATATTATGGCTCCAAGTACTACAACTCTCATCCATTTTTATATTCTCCAATAAAGCTGGGCCAGTCCCCAGCATGGTCCTATTTTCACACCTCCTGGTACTTCTCCACTTAAGTGCTATCATCTCACCTAGTTCACGTATGATCCATCTCTTGTTTCCCAAGCCATTTTTCATCATGTCTTCTCAGATGTCTTCATTCGGATAATTCCCCACAAACTGCATAACCTGAAATCTTTCAAACAACCCCTTCTAATTTATGGCCTGCTCTGAATCGGTCTCATGCACTCCATCTTTCATACATATCCATTCACTATTTCAGACAAATATATTGTGTAAGAGACACAATCTAAATATTGGAACAAAAAACTCCAAATCAATATACAGTGTGTATGATAACTATATAGCAACACTAGGAACACCATAATGATGCACTAATGATGCAATTGCGCTTCTCCTTTCTAATCCTGTTCAGTCAGGACTCCAGGACTGTAGTATGTTAAAAAAAGACCCTGAAGGATTTCTCCTACATTCTTGAAGGTTTTCCTAATTTTATTTTAGGGTCCCCACTGATTTGCAAATGTCTCGTTTCTCCGTTCATTCTTGAGTGTTTATGATGTCAGCACAACAGCCTCCTGATCACGTTCATTTTCTTGTGTATCCCCTGCTTGGGACAAAAAAAAAAAAAGAAGAAGAAGGGAACTTATTGGAAATTTAAGGCACAAGCCCACTGAGTTAAACCTCTCTTTTAATTAATATGTATGTTGGATTACTTCCTCCTTTTCCCCAGCACAGATTAATGTGGTTGAATTAAGAATAAGTAGTAAGAAATTAGATGGAAAAAGCAGAATTACAGCAAGATTAGACAAAGGAAGGAAAGATCAAGAAGGGGTTAAGATAGTCAACATTCAGCATTGGAGACAATATTGTTCATGCATACATGGAACGAACCCAGTAAATTTAGTATTTTTATGGATTCTCACCTGAGTGGATCCTTGCATGGGACGTAAGGTTACTGCTCTTTCGGAAGCTCTTCCCACACTCTGTACATTTATATGGTTTCTCCCCTGTGTGGATCCTTTTATGAACAGTTAGGGACCCATTTTCACGGAAGCTCTTTCCACATTCCCTGCATTTATATGGTTTCTCCCCAGTATGGATCCTTTTATGAGAAGTTAGGGAACTGCTTATCCGGAATATTTTCCCACATTCCCTGCACTTATATGGCTTCTCCCCTGTGTGGATCCTTTTATGGGAAGTAAGGTGACTGCTCCACCTGAAGCTCTTTCCACACTCCATACATTTATACGGTTTCTGCCCTCTGTGGATCCTTTTGTGAGAAATAAGGCAAGCACTCTGAGTAAAGCTTTTTCCACACTCCATGCATTTATACTGTTTCTCCTTAGAGTGGATCTTTCTATGGGAAGAAAGGTTACTGCTTGTATTGAATCTCTTTCCACACTCTGTGCATTTATAAGGTTTCTCCCCTGTGTGGATCCTTTTATGGGAAGTAAGGGACCCATTTTCACGGAAGCTTTTTCCACACTCCGTGCATTTGTATGGTTTTTCCCCTGTGTGGATTCTTCTGTGTGAAGAAAGAGAACTGCTCCTCCAGAAGGTCTTTCCACACTCCATGCATTTATATGGTTTCTCGCCTGAGTGAATCCTTTTATGGGAAGTCAGAGACCCATTTTCACGGAAGGTCTTTCCACATTCCAGGCATTTGAATGGTTTCTCCCCCGTGTGGATTCTTTTATGGGAAATAAGGAAACTGCTTTTTCGGAATATTTTCCCACAGTCTACGCATTTATATGGTTTCTCTTCTGTACGGATACATTTGTGGGAAATAAAGGAACTCTTCCTTTGAAATATTTTCCCACATTCCATACACTTACATGGTTTTTCTTCTATATGAATCCTTTTATGGGAAGTCAGAGACCCATTTTCACGGAAGCATTTTCCACACTCTAGACATTTATATGGTTTTTCTCCTGAGTGGATCCTTTTGTGAGAAGTCAGGTGACTGCTGTTGCTGAAGCTCTTCCCACAATCCACACATTTATATGGTTTTTCCCCTGTATGGATGCTTTTATGAGATGTAAGCTGACTGTTCCACATGAAACTCTTCCCACATTCCATACATTTATAGGGCTTTTCCCCTGAGTGGCTCCTTTTATGTGAAATAAGGTTACTGCTTTGACTAAAGCTCTTTCCACATTCCATACATTTATAGGGTTTTTCTCCTGTGTGAATCCTTTGGTGGGAAGTAAGAGAACTGCTTTTCCGGAATATTTTCCCACATTCTATGCATTTATATGGCTTCTCCCCTGTGTGGATTCTCTTATGTGAAGTAAGGGATCCGTTTTCACGGAAGCTCTTTCCACACTCGGTGCATTTATAGGGTATCACACCAGAATGGATCCTTTTATGGGAAGTAAGCTGACTGCTCCACCTGAAGCTCTTTCCGCACTCTGTACATTTATATGGCTTTTCCCCTGTGTGAATCCTTTTATGAGAAAGAAGATGATTGCTCTTGCTGAAGCTCTTCCCGCACTCCATGCATTTATATGGTTTCTCCCCTGTGTGGATCCTTTTATGACAAGTAAGGGAACTGCTCTTGCTGAAACTTTTTCCACATTCCATGCATTTATATGGCTTCTCTCCCATTTTGACTCTCCAGTTCAAACTTTTTTCATTCTCCCTGCACTGATCTTGGTTTCCTTTGGAGTTGGATCCACAATGCATATCTAAATTTAAATTGTCTTTTAGTATTTTCACACCTTTCCCTAAATCCTTTGTCCTTATTTTTCCTTTGTGATTTTGGTGGGCAAGAAAATCTTGATTCTGCACACACTGGGAAGTTGATTTCTTACTCCCATGTACTGACTTGTTCCTCTCAGGAATTCTTAATTCTGTCTGATTTCTAAACTCCTCTTTCCCTTCTTTATTCTGGATCACCTGGTCCTGGCCATCACTTCCTTGAGAGGAAAATAAAGAATTAAAATTAGGCTATGGAAAGGAAATAAAATTAAAATGTGGTTGTGATTACAACTTGCTTGCTGAAATTTGGCAGACTCTCTGGGTTTTTGAAAGGTTACAGTGCTGATTAACATAAAATAATCTGATCAAAGATTTATCAAATTTGGACTTCTGATGGAGGCTATAATCAAATTTATATGAATGAAAACTGCACTATACTGTTTCTATTTTAGGAGCAGAAGAAAACTTGACATAATCCTTAGATAAAAGAACATACCTGTGGCTGCTGCTTCAATTTATTAATTTTCCTTATCCATTCCTATCAAACTGAGCAAGGGTCACAGGGAATGAAGACAAATGAGGGGAAAGAAGCTTTTAATATTTATTCCAGGGTGCCCAATGAGACAATGGGAGAGAAGGTCAAAGCCAATTAGGTTTAATTTGCTACCCATTCTTTCCAACACATCTTGAGCCATATGCCATTTGGTGTTCATTCTCTCCTTGGCTTAACCACATCCCTGCTGAGGAAACAGCCTATAACAATTGCTCTGTTAACTCAAAACACTGAAAATCTTCCCCAAAATTCTGAGACCTGGAATTACACTTAAAAAATGCAAAAGAATAGAAAGGACATGCCATTGGTGATGTTCAACAGGAACTAAAATACTAAGTAAGGAGAACGCCCACCACCCATCAGAAGAGAAATCATCACAGGACATAACTAGGGAGATAGCTATGTAACTCTTCCCTTTCTTGGAACAGGTTCTCTTTCTCCCACAGGAGAGTTGAAGTTTGATTGGGGATCAGTAAATTTCACCCCACCACAAAATGTCTCCTCCAAGTATCTGAGGGCCCAGCAGGGGTCCTTACCCAGAGAGGCCACATTCTGAGAATTCTCCAGCATGACCTCCCCATGCAGGGCTTTCTGGTGAGGCTCCAGCTGAGACCACTCCTCCTTTGAGAAATACACGGCCACCTCCTCGAAGGACACGAGACCCTGAAGGAGGAAAAAAAGATTCCCTATAAACAGAGAACCTGAGGAAGGATTTGCATGTTCTCCTTCTTAATTAACAAGTTCCCAAAACAGGGATTTGGAATTATTTAAAGGGGTGCTTTCTACAGGATTCAAAAATTGTGAAGAAGGTGAGAAGACAGACATAGCTTAGTCTTTGACAGAGGAAATGTTTGGGGTGATCATCTTTACTGATTCTGCAGGACTTTCAGAACCATTCAGGGAAAGCAACACGGTATTTTCTGGGCAAACTGGCAATGACAGGCCTTGGAGACACCAGGTATCAGAAGCTCCATTTTTTCCTGGTGCTCGCAGAAGAAAGAGGTCTTGGTGGTGGGATTCTGACTGACATTTTAGGCAATGGACAGGGGGGAAATCATCCTTCAAAGATCAATCCTGCTCATGCTCAACATGTTCATGTGTCAGGCCTACAAGGTAGGGCCAGGTAACTGACTCCACAGGAAGACTAGAACAATACTTCGTTGAGATAGGCTATCCTGACCGAATCTTGCAAACCTGATTGTGCTTTTCCTCCCCTCCATCTTAGACTCCAGTGAGTCTGGGAGGAGTCATCCTGAGTCTCTTCTTAGCACTTAAGGAATGCTTCCATCCTTTTGCTTTACTTAATGGATTCTGAATATTGGTTTCAAGGCCATCTCCTTGGCTCTCTACAGCTGAAGGTGCTGGGAGAACATATCCAGGGATTTGTGTGGGTGTCATCAATACGCAGATGAAACTTAGACCAATTTCTGCTTCTTAAATTCCAGGGAAGGTGCTCATGGTCTGAGCTCTGGACTGGATGGGTGTTAAGAAAGACAAGCTGGGGAGGAAATTATGCAGCTTTTGCAAAGCTGCATAGGTTAGCATCTACATTCAGACACAAATTAGAAACTTCTCCACAAGACCACAGTGGCTTGATTACAGATATCAGTTATATTTGGAGACTGTTCTGTTTTTATAATCCACTGTAACATCATTTGATCTGATTTACCATTTGAATGTTTGGGGCTAAACTCTTTTACCTCAGATCTCTATAAATACCCACAAAAGGGTCACATCATCCTGGGCACAGAGAGAACTGCTC